CAATCTACAGAATAGGGGAAAACATTTGCAAATCATATGTCTGATAAGAGACTTGTATATAAAATATATAAGGCAGTCTTAGAACAAAGACAAATAAATCAATTTTTAAAAAAGGATTTGAATACCTCTCTCTCTGTCTCTCCAAAGAAGGTATATAAGTGGCTAACATGGGAAAAGATGTTCAAAATTGTTCGTTGTCAGAAAAATACAAACTGAAATCTCAAGGTGCCACTTCACACCCACAGGATGGCTATCATAAAAAAGATAGAGAGTAAGTGTCAGTTAGGATGTAGAGAAGTTGGAATCCCCGCAGGTTGCTCATGGGACTGTAAAATGGTACAGTCATTTGGGAAAACAGTTTGGTGATTCCTCAGAATGTTAAAAAAAAAAAAAAAATTTAAAAAGAGCTACCATTTGACCCAGCAATTTCAATCCTAAGTATACACCCAAGGGAAATGAAAGCAAGTCCACAAAACAACCTGTACATGAAAATGCCTGATCATTACTCACATTGGCCAAAGAGTGAGACAACCTGAATGTCTATCAACTGAAAAACAGATAAACAAAATGTGATAGAGCTATATAATATTATTTGGCAATAAAAAGGAATGAGGCACTGATACATGCTACAATATGGATTAACCTTGCAAAAATTCTCTCACGTTCATCACCGAATTGTCCATTTAAATGGATACAGTAACTTGTATGTAAATGATACCCCAATAAAGTTGATTTTTTATAAAGTAATGAGAAGCTGAGAGAGAGAATCCAGTCGCAAAAGATCACATGTTGTATAATCCCATTCATACGTAAAGTCTAAAACAGGCAAATCTATAGGGACCAAAAATAAGCAGTTGCTAGGGTCTGAGAGAGGGAGGGATTGAGGGTGACCGCTAATGAGTATAGGGTTTCTTTCACAGAGACGGAAAGTCCTAAAATTAGGTGGTAGTGATGGCTGCATAACCTTGTGACTATAAACAAAATCTTTCATTGTACACCTTATGGGTGAATTGCATGGTACATAAATTACATTTCAATAATTTTTTAAAAGGCATCATTAAAAAACCAAAGCAAGCTACAAAATGGAAGAAAATATTCACATCACATGTATCTGACAAAGTATGGACGATATAAGGAACACCTGCCACCCAATAATGTGATGACAATCCAGTAAAGATTGAGCAAAAGATCTGAACAGACACTTTATAAAAGAAGACATACACGTGGCCAATCAGGGCATAAAAAGATGATCAACGTGATTCATCATTAAGAAATGCAAATTAAAACCACCCTATGATATTACCAAACACCCATCAGAATGGCTAAAAGTGAAAATCTCAAGGGCTAGCAAGAATGTAGAGCAACAGGAATTGCCATATGCTGCTGGGCAAAAAGATGTAAAATGGTACAACCACTTTGGAAAACTGTTAGGCAGTTCATTAAAAAGTTGAACACAACATCTACCATTTAACCCACTCATTCTCCTCCTAGATCTTCACTCAAACATGCATGCAAAGACCTGTACGTGAATGTCTACAGCAACTTCATTTATGAGAGCTCCCAAATTGGAAACCACTCAAGTATTTATAAATACAAAAGTTTAAAAAATGTGAAATATCCATAACTTTGGAATACTACCCAGCAATAAAAAGGAACGAACCACTGAGACATGCTACATGGATGAATGTCAAAATAATGAGTGAAATAAGCCAGACACAAAATGGTACATGAGTCAATTTATATGATGTTTTATACAATATAAAATAATCTTGGCCAGGCGTGGCGGCTCATGCCTGTAATCTCAGCACTTTGGGAGGCCAAGGTGGGCGGATAATAAGGTCAGGAGTTTGAGACCAGCCTGGCCAACACAGTGAAACCCTGTCTCTACTAAAAATACAAAAACTAGCCAGGTGTGGTGGCACATGCCTGTAATCCCAGCTACTCAGGAAGCTGAGGCAGGAGAATCACTTGATTCTCAGTGATCCCAGGAGGCGGAGGTTGCAGTGAGCTGAGATGGCGCCACTGCACTCCAGCCTGAGCGGCAGAGTGAGACTCCATCTCAAAAAAAAAAAAAAAAAATTTCTAGTAAGTAAAGTAGGTTACTGGTTGACTAGGGTCATGAACGAGGAAGAAACTTCCAAGGGGCTCAAGGAGTCTTCAGTGACATGGAAATTTTCTCTCTTGACTGTGGAGGTGGCTTTACGGGTATGATTCTCTCACGTTCATCACGGAATTGTCCATTTAAATGGATACAGTAACTTGTATGTAAATGATACCTCAATGAAGTTGATTTTATAAAGTAATGAGAACCAATGGAAAAAGAATCAATATAATTTAACATTTTAAAAATTAGCATATCTAATTTTTTGTGTAAACAGAGCTTCTGAACTGCTTACTGTTGCGCATACATAGTTTTTGTCCTTAGGTAATTCAAACATTCATTGCCTCTAAACTGGATTTTGTGATGAATTTGCCTGACAAATCTCACACAAGGTTAATCCCACCCTAGTTCCTCTCTGAATTACTAAAAATTCTTAATGAGTGTGGTCCATACTAATGAGATAGGCTTTTTCGTTTTTTGTTTTGTTTTGTTTTGAGATGGAGTCTTGCCCTGCCACCCAGGTTGGAGTGCAATGGCATGATCTCAGCTCACTGCAACCTCTGCCTCCTGGGCTCAAAAAGATTCTCTTGCCTCAGCCTCCTGAGTAGCTGCTACTACAAGCACCTGCCACCACACCCGGCTAATTTTTATATTCTTAGTAGAGACAGGGTTTCACCGTGTTGGCTAGGCTGATCTTGAACTCCTGATTTAAAATGATCCACCTGCCTAAGCTTCCCAAAGCGCTGGGATTACAAGCGTGAGCCACTGTGCCGGGCCAATGAGGTTTTTTTTTGTAACACAAAAGAGGGATGAATTCCTTGACAGAAAAACTCACAGAGGGGCAGGGATAGCAGTGCCCTCATATGACTTCCAGGCTTTGTTCTGAGGTTGGTTTTGTTCCAGACATTTTTATATGTTTTTATGCCAAGCCATTTTTGCAGTAACTTTTGTTGGTAGTATACAATCCCAAGTCGCTTAGAAAGGCAAATTCTAAATCTACTTGAACTTCACCTCATAAAATTAAAGATCACCTGTAGGGCCAAAGGGGTGAAACGATACAGGTATCCATAGAGAAACCACGTGTACCCAAGACTGACTGTTGTGAGATGACTTCCCACACTTTCCCCTTCACCACTCACTGTAACCCTCTAATGTGAACATTATTATTACCCCCATTTTTCCCACTATGGAAACTGCTACTCAGAGAAACCCAGTTATTTGCCCCAATTCACCCAGCTAGTAAGGGGCAGAGCTGCGAGTTACACATTTGGGGTGCTTTGACTGATGTTTGGTTATAGTTCCATAAACACAAAACTTAAACAAGTAGATCCACGTAGCTTTGGATTTGAGTATTCATTTTTGCATTACTGTAAGAAAAAGCACACATTGAAATACATGGCTAACATTGTGCGGGGCTTTTGCCCGCCACTGAAATCTCATCATCTTCCAATTAGGCAACAGTATTTGACAAGAAAGGGATGCGCTGGCATCCTGACAGAGCAGGCTTCACATAAAACAAAGTCACACGGACGTCTAGGGAGTGTTTCCAAATCTGGGGAGAACTAGTGCTCTCCAAGAAACACCAGAAATATGGCAAATTATAATGCAAACAGAAGAACAAGGATCTAGAAAAGATTACACTTAGGTACTCGAGAGTCAATGTGGAACCAAGCAGTCAAAAACCTTTGGCTTATATCATGGCTGGCTGTAACATACAAATCTCTAAAACTGCCAGTCATGACCTAGAACTGCCATTTGACAGACAGAAATACACATATGCTTCTGGCACGGATAGCTTTAAAATACTTATACAAAAATATCATAACCTACAAATAATATTTTGAAGATAATGAAAGGATAACGAAATGCATTGATGAACATTGATTTGCATCCTAACAAGACCCCAAGTTAATGTGTTGTTTAAACATTCATAAGGAAAAGAAGAATCTATGGAAAATAAATTGTTAGCCCAATCATCCATTCTACATACGCTTGACAATCCAAAGTCTGAAAATCATTAATAGATCACGAAATTGTCTATATTCTGATCTTCCACAAAACTCTCCTCTGTCATTAATCATTTAATATTCCAGCATTTATTTATTCAGCAATGGTTAAAGCATAATATTCCGACACAGTTTCTATCAGTTAATTCTACTAAATGCAGCCCTGGGATATTCCCGGGAATCATACCAGTTAGAGTAAAGCATTTATGCAGGCAGGGAGGCCAATTTCAGCTTAAATTTGTAAAAACGCATGCAAGTAAAGTCTCTATTTGAATATCTGGCTTTCTGATTTCTTCCCTCCTTGGTAATCTCCAGTGTTAATGGAATGCAAAAATAACCTAATGAGGGGATAATGCCATGGTCTGACGCCAATTATTATTCTCTTATGTCTGGCATGAATTCCCATTTCAATCACATGCGCTCTTCTCTGTCAAAGGAAGAGTACAAGGGAGGGGATGGGAACAGGCAGTTACCATCTGCTTCCCTCCCCCGGCATCCCTGGAAAGGAAGACAAGGGTGGGAGTTTCTCCTAGAGATGGGAGCAAAGTGTACCTCACAGTGGGCCCACTGAAGTGTCTTCAGGCAGCCACATTTGGCCCTGGCATATCAGAAAGCAATACAGACTCCCCATAGCAGGAACGTCAAATTCACTGTCAAGCTCTAGGTTTTCAGTCTAGCCCAGCAGCTGCAGACTGGTTCAAGTGAGTCCTGGAGCCTCCTGCATGCAGCCCACTGTCTTCGGCTGGATACAGGCTTCTCTAGTATCCCACAGGCCTCCCAGCTCCCTCCTGCCTTATCTGGCCCACTAAAATAGTTTCTTTTCCCACCTGGCCTCTTTAAATCTTGGAGTTTGCAAGTTGGTTCAAAACTCATCAATCAAACGAGGTACTTACAGCTGCATGACCAGGTACAAGTGATTTGGGCTTTCATAAATGTCTTCCAGGGCGACAATGTTTTCATGCTTAATTCTGAAAAAGAAATAGACACACAAAACAGTAAGTTTAATCAGAAAGGAAAACTTTTTAAAACAGACAGCATTGTAGCAACAAGTTACAAAACAGAATCCAAAACTCCTGAACAAAAACATTTCACACTTCACAATCTTGTCCCCAGACTTGTTCCAGACCCATTTGCTAATAGTCCTTCCCGGATCTCCACTCCTCTTCGTTCCTAAGCCCCAATACCCTACAGTTTAGCAACAGTGGATTAACTATTGATGCTTCCTGTGAATCCCAGAAATGGGCCCAATCTGCCCACATCCTATTATCTGACAGGGCCCAACTCAGACGCCGGGCTGCTGGGCAGAACTGTTCCCTCTTCTGTTGTCTCCCAGTGGCCGTCACAGATTCGCCTGACCACTTAATTCTACGAAAATCTGTCCCCGATGATAGGCCTATGTTCCAGGGAGAAGGGAGACGTGGTGGGACACTGGAGAATATATATGTTCCAGGGAATGTTTCTCTGACATGTTCACAAGGTCAGGATACTGGGACCATCCTGGCTAACAGGGTGAAACCCCATCTCTACCAAAAATACCAAAAAAGGCCAGGCACAGTGGCTCACGCCTATAATCCCAGCACTTTGGGAGGCCAGGGTGAGCAAATCACAAGGTCAAGAGATCGAGTCCATCCTGGCCAACATGGTGAAACCCCATCTCTACTAAAAAAAAAAAAAAAAATAAAAAAAAATAGCTAGGTCTGGTGGTGTGCGCCTGTAGCCTCAGCTACCTGGGAGGCTGAGGCAGAAGACTCGCTTGAACCCGGGAGGTGGAGGTTGCAGTGAGCCAAGATTGTACCACTACACTCTAGCCTGGCAACAGAGCAAGACTCTGTCTCAAAAAAAATACATATATATATATAGTTTTAGCTGGGCGTGCCTGTAGTCCCAGCTACATGGGAGGCTGAGGCAGGAGAATCGCCTGAACCCGGGAGGCAGAGGTTGCTGTGAGCCGAGATTGTGCCACTGCACTCCAGCCTGGGTGACACAGCGAGACTCTGTCTCAAAACAAAAAAACAAAAAAACCAACCTGACTCCCTCATTGGGGTTCATATCCCCCCACCCCACCCCACTACCAAATGTCACTTCAGCTTCCCAAGCAAAATCAGTGCTACTCAAAGTGTGGTTCTCACAGGGGCAGCACCAGCATCTCCAAAGAGCTTAGGAGAAATTCAAATTCTCAGGCCCCATGACAAGCACAGAGTATACAAGTCGAGGGCAGAGCCCAGGAATCAGTATTTTAATAAGATGCTCAGATGATCTACACGTGCTAACTAGACCTTGAGAAATACTGTATTGGACCAGTGCTGCTCAAACTTCAAGGAGCAAATGAATCATCTGGGGATCTGGCTGCACGGCAGGCCTTGAATCAGCGGGTTTGGCTGGGGCCTGGGAGGCTGCATTTCCAACCAGGTCCCGGAGATACTGGTGCTGCTGATCTGCAGACACCACTGTGAATAACCAAGTTCTAAAGAACCAGGGCAGAAGGAAACAGCTGAGTCCTAGCCCTTGGCACTATCCATTAAGAGCAGTTTCTGCTCAGAATGTAAGGCTTGATATTATTTAAAGCATTTGAGAGAAAAAAATTATTTCATTACTCAAGGAGATAATTAGCTCTTACCATAAGCCTCTCATCGAAATGACTGCTGAACCATTTAAAGACAAGCACATAACATGCAGATTCTTGTGAACCTCCTGAAAGCAAGAACTACATTATTCACACATTTGCTCCTGGTGCCTCGCACAGATCCGCTTAATAACACTTGCTGAATGAATGAATGATATTGAAAGGCTGCTGCCAGTAAGCAGCCAGAAGCCTTATTTAGTTACGAAAACGGAAACCATTTTCCTAAGTGTGTGATGTCTTCCCTACAAAGAGAGGTTTATAAGGTGGAAAACAAACAAGAATATTATCTTCTTTTTGAGATGAAAGAGAACAAGATCATTAGCAAAGACTGGTAAGGCCTTCCTTTGAATTCTACAGCTTGCAGTAGTTAATGCAGTTGTTTTGCAGGAGCTAAAACAATAGGTTATACTAAGTTCACATTCCACCCGATTCCAAAGAATAGAATCTAATTATTTGTCAGCCATGGTTTCTGCACAGCCTGAGCAAGACATGAACCAAATAAACGATGCCAGCAAGGAAACCAAAGAGCTTAACTTGAGATTACCAAGATCCTACAAATCATGGCATTATCGTGATTAGATATACCTGAAAGAAGCAGCCCACAAAAGTAGACATCATATAGATTTTCCCTTTTTGGAAAAATTGTTTTAATTTACCATTGGAATCAACCACATGGTCATGAACGTTTTCTTTCAGTCAAGTTCATTTGAGAGTTAATTAAGAGCCTAGAGTTCTGGGGAAATAGAAGGAATGGGATAATATGAAGAGTGGCCAGAGAAAATGCAGGGCACACAGCTACATCTGAACGGCAGCAAAATGCTGAATGCTTTTTCAGTTTAAGTACATCCCAAGTATTGCATGGTTGTTTAGCGGACATTCAGATGTAACCGGGCACACTGTATTTTCATGTACTAAATCCAATCACTCTGCTTACATAAATCACTCAATCTCTAAACTGGGTTTAGAGATTGGCAACAGCAGCCCTAGCTTGCCTTCGAGGTTGAGTCAAGAAGGCTGTCTGAGCCCCAGAGTTCAGTCATTAATTCAGATTCCACGATATGCAAAGAATCAACTCTGTACAAAGCACTTGCCTAGCCAATGTAGTGGACCCCAATAAATTAGACCTACAGTCCCCTCCTTTGATACATGGGATAGAGACATTAAAGCCTATTTAACCTGCCATGTCTTACATGAGCGCTAGCTTGAAATTGAGTTTAATCTATTGCAGCATTCCAGAGAAGTGTTGCACACAGCAGGAACAATCCCAAATGTCAGTCTCACAGCGGCTGGAAAGACACCTTAACTATTAATATCTCTCCATCAGCCAATCAGGCGAGCAAGCAATTGTCATTTCCTGAGTTTCTGCTAAGTTTCTGGAAGAAGGTAAGAAAAATAAAAAACAAAGTTTTGCCATCAGGAAGTTTATCACCTAAGCAGATAAACTCAGGAAGAAATTAGAAAAGAATCAAATGCTAAATCCTGTAGAATTGCCTTTAAGCTGTGAGAAACCAGAGCCCCGAATGGGTCAGAGTTATGGCGAAGGCCTCAAGAGGATGATGGGAGCTGGGCTGGAGTGAGTAATGTTTGAATAAGCACACTTGAGAAATTTCAAATAAATCCTAAAATGGCCTCTTCATATCTCTTAAGAAAAGTGGTTTAATTAACTTGGAGCTGTTCAACACAGTAAAAAAAAATTATTCTGGCCTCCCACATCTGTTCTCAGGTACTTTATTCCACCCTCACATTCCTTACAATATGCAAAAGCGGAACGTAAAGTTTTAACATTATTTTAGTGCATGAGTTATTTTCAAAAAATGCCATATGACCACCCATGCCTTTAGGACTACGGCACAAACACTAACTGAGGACTTATTCCATGCAAAGGCTCACTTCATGCTAAATTTGCCACTGGAATCAATCACATGGTCACAAACATTTTCTTTCAGTCAAGTTCATCCGAGAGTTAATTAAGAGCCTAGATTTCTGGGGAAACAGGAGGAATGGGATAATATGAAGAGTGGCCGGAGAAAATGCAGGGCACACAGCTACATCCGAACGGTATGAATGCTTTTTCTCAGTTTAAGTACATACGGTGAATGTTTTTTTCAGTTTAAGTACATCCCAAGTATTGCTAAATTTCAGAGTTTCATTATTCATTCAACAAACATCTGTTGGATGCCTGCCAGGTACCAGGCACAGTCCCAGGTACTCTGAATTTAGCAGAAGAACAAGACACCAGAAAGGCAGCCTCAGCCCTCCTGGTGCTCATGCAGGTGAGAGCTAGAACGCTTCTCAGGTTGTCTGTCTTCATTAACCAGAAATCAGCCCCCTGGTAACTAGTAATGAGTCCCTGGACCAACAGAGAACTAGCTTACACCTTCTTCCCATGTATCCTGCACAGGTTTGAGGGATATAATGCCTCTGCTTAGTCTTCTCATTGCTGACCAATCTTCCTACAATATGGTTCACATTCCTCTCACTGCTCTATCATCACTCACTCGTCCAGACTCTGGAAACACTGATCCCGGGGTAAAATACGGTATCATGTATATGGTATTAAATAGTAAAGGAGAACTACTAACCATATGTTAGACTTCTACATAACTTCTACATAATAAAACCTAACAAATCCACTGCTGTAGTTTTTAGCCACTGCCTAACCACTGGCATATAAAGAATATAAACCCCACACAGGTAGAGATTTCTGACTGTTCCACTACTGTCACCCCAGTGCCAAAAGAAGAGCATGGCACATAGTTAATTGGTGAGTATCAAGTTTTGGGCCAATTAAACCACCAGATCATTTTAATTTGAACGTCTCCCAAACACAATCTCATTTCTTACTCGGGTTGATATTGTGAGAGCTTAATGCCTTCACCTTTAGCTTCATTAAGTCCAGTCATTACAGATCCCATGCAGCGTTTCGATGATCAGCGGTGTGGTGAATCTTGATTTCCTCATCTATTGTTCTCATTATCCCTCCCAACTTTGGGCCATCTGTGTACTTGGTACATATCCATCCCATGTGTCTTCATTCAAATTCCTAATTAAAATTTTAAATGCAAGGTTACATGTCAGAGCTCCACGGTATTCCAACAGAGACCCCCATCAAGATAACCATGCCATTAATCAGCTGGCTTCCATTGCTGTCTAGCTGCAAACCTGGCAGTCCTATCGTCTAGCCTGTGTTTTACCATTCTACCCATAAGGAAACAATTAGATGCTTTGCAGAAGTAGAATTCCTCAGCTCTACACACCACATAATACTATTTAAAAGGGAAATGGGATGTTTGGGAAGATTTGTTCTTAGTAAACCCATGTTAGCTCCTAGCAACCACTACAGTC